TATGTTCTTTGGCTACTCCATTTCCTATACAGTTCTTCACTGTCTATTATGTAACTGCCCATTTGTATTTTGTAATCCCTGCACCTTTTCTCCCATTCTCCCCCTTCCCCCCTCCCAGCCGATAACTGTTCAAATGATCTCTATGATTCTGTTCCTCTTCTGCTTATTTAGTTTGTTTTTTAGATTCAGTTGTTGATAGTTATGAATTTGTTCTGCTTTCATGTTCATAGTTTTGATCTTTTTCTTATATAGTTCCCTTTAGCATTTCATATAATAATGGCTTGGTGATGATGAACTCCTTTAGTTTTACCTTGTCTGGGAAGCAGTTTACCCGTCCTTCCATTCTAAGTTATAGCGTTGCTGGATAGAGTAATCTAGGTTGTAGGTCCTTGCTTTTCATGACTTTGAGTACTTCTTGCCAGACCCTTCTAGCCTTCAAAGTATCTTTTAAGAAATCAGCTGAGAGTCTTAAGGGAACTCCTTTGTAGGTAAGTCTCTGCTTTTTTCTTGCTGCTTTTAACACTTTCTCTTTAAACTTTGGCATTTTGATCATGATGTATCTTGTCATGGTCCTCTTTGGGTTCAACTTGTTTGGAATTCTCTGTCCTTCCTGGACTTGTATGTTTATTTCCTTCACCAAATTAGGTTTTGGGTTTGTTTTTTGTTTTTTGGGTTTTTTTTTTTTTTTTTTCAGTTTTTAATTTCTTGCTTTTCCTTTTCTGGCACGCCAGTGGTTCCGGTGCTGGTACATTTGGAGACGTCCAGGAGGCTCCCTATGCTATCTTTGTTTTTTGTGTTTTTGTTGTTGTTGTTTTATTATTATTTTCTCTTTTTACTGTTCTGATTGAATGCTTTTTTCTTTCTTATGTTCCAGATTGTTGATTCGATTCTCGGCTTCAACCCCTCTACCATTGGTTCCCTGTAGATTTTCCTTTATTTCACTTAATGCAACCTGTATTTCTGCCTGGGTCTTTTTTATGCTGTTGCAGTACACAGTGAGTTTCTGGAGCATCCTGATAAGCAGTGTTTTGAACTGTTGCTTATCTTCATTTTGTTTAGTTCTTATTCTGGAGCTTTGTTCTGTTCTTTCATTTGGGCCATATTTCTTTGTCTCCTCATTTTGGCAGCCTCCCTGTTTTTGTTTCTGTGTATCAGGTAGGGCTCCTTTAACTCCATCTTAGTGGTGACTGTGGTATGAAAGTTACTTATCTGGATGAATGTGGCTTCTTCTAGATCCTCGATGGTTGGACTTCCATAGATACTGATTTTCTGACGAATCTGGGTAGCACTTGTTTTGTAGTCTAGTTGTAATTTTTGCTGAAGTTGTGCATGGAGGTGAAGTGTGGTTACCTATGTCTTTGTCTTGACCCAGATCTTAATTCAGCTTCTTATTCAATTTTTTTCAAGCTGGCCTTCAGTCAGTTTAAACAACTTAGTTTAAAATTGTCCTCAGTGTTGCTCTGGCCGGTGTGACTCAGCTGGTTGGAGCATTGTCCCATAAATAGAAGGGTGGTGGACTCAATTCTTGGTCAGGACACATAGCTGGGTTGCAGTTTCAATACCTGGTTGGGGCACTCAAGCAGTCCTTATGCGGACACATCTAACTCCATCGGGCCATATTAACAGCAGATTTCTTTGAGTCCGTGGCTTAATGATTCCAAAGTAATTATAGACCCTGACTGGGGTCCATACTGATAACCTGAGTATGTGCCCTGGCTGGGAATCCAACCTGCAAGCCTATAGGCTATAGGAAAAAGTAAAATAAAATTTTATTTTGGTATTTATATGTCATAGCAAGTATAGATTTAACTTCTTCCTTTTTCACTGTGTCATAATATTTCACAAGTACAGATATACTATTTTTTATTTAGCTTACTCCTTAATTGTTGAAACTTTTCAGGTATTTTCAGTTTTCACGTATATGCATACTATTGTAAAGAACCTACTTGCCTTTGCACACGATGCCAGAATTTCTCTAAAGTAGATAAACAAGAAGAGTCGGTCTCCTGACATTTCCGCTGCTGCCTTCCAAAACCGTTGTGCGTTTTATTTGGTATCAACCATTTCCTCTCCCCTTCAGCACTGGTTCTTAGCAAATCTGAATATTTATTTGCATTTTACTGATTACCATTGAGACCAAGCATTTCTTTTATAGGTCTATGAGCCGTTTGTATTTTTTTCATCTATTTTTCCAGAGTGGTGTTTTTACATTTGGTACTTTAATCTGCAATGTATTTGTGAGTGATATGAAACATCTAACATTTTTTTCTTAGTAAATATGCAATGTAAAAAAAAGATACAAAGAATGGATTTATTTGCAGTTGTTGCTATAATCTGTTTAAATAATCTGAACAAATTAACTAAAATCTTGGAACTTTTAAGAGAGTTCAGCAAAGATGGAGGGATGCAGGATAAACTTACTGAATTTGAAAAGCTTTTTTTAAAACTCCAGCAATAACCTTTCAGAAAGTATAATGGGAAAACAGAGCCCATTTATAATAAAAACTATCTAAAAGTAGACCTAACAAGAAATGTGTAATAACAAAATGGAATTGCCCAGTAGTATAGCAAAACATATTTATAATGTTATTGTAATTAAAAATGGAGATATTTGTCAGGTATAAACAGGTTGATGGAACAAAATATAGTCTAAAAATCCATGTAGCAATGTAGTATATGAAAAATTCAAATCAGAAATAGGATAGGCTGTTCAAAGATCTTTTCAGTGTTCAATGGTACTAGATTCAAAACTGATTTCACTGCAGGCCCTAGGCTTACCTAGAATTTCTATTTGTTACCCCCCCCCAAAATTAAAAACCTTGAAAGACTAATGTTTATGTATAATACTTTAAGGGTACAGTGACATCTCAGTCAGGCCTCTGTTTATACTTTGTCTTCTGCCTAAACCTGTTCTCAGCCCACACTCCTCGAGCGCTTGCTTTTACCTGCCTGATTCACATTTCTAGAATTTAGCTCATTATGAAATAGATGCTTAAATGTTCAAACAGATTTTTGCCACCTCAAACTTAGATTTTTATAGGTAATTTGTGGCTTAAGTCGAAATGTAATCATATTTCAAATATTTTTAGCTTCTACCTCGTATTTAGTATTTGCTCTTAATTCTTACTGTTGATATACTCTTTCTTTGTTAGTGATGGGAATGTTCCCCCTCCCTCTTTAACCCTTATGTTAAAAGTGGAATTGATTTACTATATTAAGAAGTCCGTGGAGAAACTGTTGCTACCCAAAGGGCGTCTATGATTTGACTTTGCATAGTTGCCTAGCTACTGCTAGTTAAGTAAACATTCTAGATATTTTGCTCTGAAAATTTTTCAGACAGAAAAGTTGGCACTTGAAATTCTTGTTCTTCTGGCTTTTCTAGCATTTTGTCCTTTTTTGTTTTGTTTGTGTTCTAGAAGAATGATTACAAAGCAGTATGGACGGAAGAAAGTAATTGATGAATTTTTAATTGTGTACCATTATTATCATAAGATGACATAGTACTGTTCTAAATTTTAGTCGAGGTTCTTAGGAAATATCAATAGCTCTTAGCATTTGTGGATAAGAAGTTTCAACTGGAGCCAGAATTTTTTAACCTTGGCAGTATGGAAATGGAAGGGGATTTGGGCTATAAACATACCTACCTAGGTTTAAATCCTCGAGCTGTCTCTTAAGCTGTAGAAGCCTTGAGCAAGTAGCAGTTTCTGAGTGTTTCTTCATCTTTAAAATGGGAGCAGCCCTAGCTGGTGTGGCTCAGTGGATTGAGTACTGTGCTTGCTGCCTACGAAAGGGTCACTGGTTTGATTCCTAGTCAGGGCACATGCCTGGGTTGTAGGCCAGATTCTAGGTTGGGGCTTGAGGAGTACAAAAGGCAACAAACTGATGTTTTTCTGCCTCTTTTTCTACCCACTTTCCCCTTTCTCTAAAGATAAGTAGATGAAATTTAAAAAATTGGTACAATAATTTCCTTATGAAAGTGTCATTGTAAAATAAGATAATGTATATGAGGCATTTAAGTCAATGTTTACCACTTACAAGGCCCTCAAATTTTTGGTAATAATGTGTTGCTATTGCTGTCCTAACTCCACATTAGAAATGATACTTTAAATATCTCTCAGTGCTTAGCAGTTGTACTAGACTAATAAATTTGATTCTGCTCCCACTACACTATGTGCAACAAGTCATTCATCTTTGTTTTTTTAAGGTGAGGGATGACATAGGTTATTTCCAAGTTCCTTTCTTGCTCTAAAATGTGGTTCATTTTATTGACCCTTCCCTTAAGGGTAGAATTAAAATATTGGTCAGGAATTTCTTAGAGAAAAGGGTAACGAGGATATGCTGTTTTCCTCATAATGGCATAAAAATAATATTGGTATTAATAAAATCCTCCTTTGAAAAAATTGTTAAAATACAAATTACTGAAAACAAGAACACCTTTCATTTACCAATTATCTTAATTTAAGATTCTTAAAAAATACATTTTTACCACTCTACTGTTAAATTTCAGAACTTTGGTAGCTTATGTACAGAAGGGATGAAATAGTAAAATATATTATAAATGTACTCATTTACATAAGAGGAGCGCAGGCTTTTTTTTTCATTCTCATGAAAGCTACTTCATGTCTTTGTATTTATCAAGTTGTCATTTGTTCAGCAAATACTTGTTTTAGTGTCTACCAGTATCAAGTTGAACAGTGTATATAGGAAGATGACTAAGGCCAAGGATCTCTTCAAGTTCAGTCTAGGTCCTAACAAAAAGCATCTGTATTTTTAAATTATTGTCACAATAGTTACCTTGAAGGAAAATAAAATAAACCAGTAAATCTGTGTTTCAACTTTATTGTCTCAGGTGTTCAGAAATTTGACATTGTTTATTGCAGTGACTTGGAACTTCTTGCTTGAGAGAGAAAGACAGACTTGTAACACCAAGGACATACTAAATAATAGTGAAAACATGTTATTTCAGCGTTAATCTTAATATAGCATTGTTATATTTTCAGGAAACTGCTAAACTTCCTGTGGAAGCGAAGTAGAATTTCATAAGAGCATAATGGGTAAGTTTCATAAAAAAATAATGGGTAAGTATTTCAACTAGTAGAAGCTGGTTTTTCTTCTGAAAGGTGGGCCTTGGATGTCAGTGAATGCAAGTTAGAAAATGGTCAGAGTAGACTGAAAGTAGTTGTTGAAGTAAACAGCTTATGTTTACTGTGTATTCTTGGGGACAGATTAGTAACATCTTGTACCAAATAAAACTTACAATTACTAGTGAATGAATTGTACCTTAAAATATTAGAAACTTTCCCAACAGACATATAAAATGTTTACCTTGCAAAACAAATTTTAAAGTATTTCTACTTCTCTTTTAGGGCTCCCTAAATTTTTAGAATAAGCCATAAGAAACTTTCTTTCAGATATTGGTAACCATAAATGTTAAAATTCTGTTTGTGCAGTATTGTAGAAGTTATACCTGTGAGAAAGATCTTAAAGGGATATACAAAAACATACACTCCCCCAGAAAGTTAAATTGAGCTAACCGAAGGCAGCATGACAGCAGTGGGTGTGCTGGTCGCAAGTGCCATCTAGGCACTCTGTCTCCTCACCTCTGCTTCCCATTTTGAAAGCCTCACATTTGTCTGTGTTCATGACTTTCATTTGTGCAGTAATTTAAATTAAGCAATATATTCATAATCATTTTTATGGATCAAGAGTAAATTCCTAAGTAAAGGAAGCCCTAACATGTACAATTTGTACTTGTCAGTTGAGCTTATATGGTATAGTCTCCAAGTTTGAATGTGCTGCTGTAGTCACAAAAATATTGTTAGTAATATTTCCTTGAAAAATACTGGTAAATTTTCATTTAAAGTACAATCCTTGAATGTAAACTTTACTCTGACATTGGAAAATGAATAGATAATAATAGATAAGTCTAAAAACTTTAAAATTTTGATCACTGTTACCCTCCAGAAACTTTTCTGGTGTGAATTCTTCAAACCTTGGTAAACCTGTTTATTGTCAATAAATTTTGTGATTCAAAAATTATCTTACTACTTTACTTTAGATGGAGAAGAGAAAACCTATGGTGGCTGTGAAGGCCCTGATGCCATGTATGTCAAATTGATATCTTCAGATGGTCACGAATTTATTGTAAAGAGGGAACATGCACTAACATCAGGAACAATAAAAGCCATGTTGAGTGGCCCAGGTAGGAAGATTTCTTTATTTTCCCTTCATTTATCCTCACTTTCAGTGTTTGATGAATGTATTTTTAAGTTGATTTAAGTGACTTAAGACATTTAAAAGAGAAAGTAAATATTTGAATATTGCATGATTATGTTGCATTTGGGAAAAGTTGGTTTCTGCCATATTCAGTTTATAGCTATTTACCTTAGTTTCAATAAACCCAGATTGGTTAATTTGTAATAGGAAGGATCATTTCCCTAAGTTAGTTACCATGGCCACCTTCTTCAACACAGGACTCTGTTGATTTGTGCTCCTACTTCTAAAGTTTATTTGTAGCAGTTACCACCTCCCAAATGTCTACTCTTAACATTTTCTTTGAGGTAATTTTTTTTACCTCAAGAAAGAAGATTTCTGAGAGTTGGAATTTCTGGAACATGTGGTAATTTCTATGTTTAACTTTTAGAAGAAATGTCAAACTTTGCACACTGGCTGAACCATTTTACATTCCTACCACCAATGTATGAGGGTTCCTCATGTGGTTTTCTCTCCACATCCTTTATTTGCATTTGTTTTATTCCAGCCATTTTGATGGGTATGAAGTGGTATCTCATTGTGGTTTTGATTACCGTTTCCCTAATGACTAGTGATGTTGAATATATCTTCATGTGCTTGCTGGCTGTTTGTGTATCCTCTGGAGAAATGTCTCTTCAAGTCCACTTTTTAATGGGGTTGTCTTTTTCCTTGTTGAGTTGTAAGAGTTCTTTATAAATTCTAGATACCAGATTCTTATCAGATACATGAAATGCTTATATTTTCTTCCATTCTGTGGGTTGTCGTTTAATAGTGTGTTTTAATGAATAAAAGTTTTTTATGTGATAAAGCCTGGTTTATCTTTTTTTTTTTTTAAGATTTTTGTTTATTTATCTTTAGAGGGGAAGGGAAGGAGAGAGGGAGAGAAACATCAATGTATAGTTGCCTCTCATGTGTCCCCTGCTGGGAACTGGCCCGCAACCCAGGCATGTGCCCTGACTGGGAATTGAACCTTGATCCTTTGGTTTGTAGGCCTGTGCTCAATCCACTGGGCCACACCAGCCAGGGCAAGCCCGGTTTATCTTTTAAAAACCCGTTTGTTGTTTGTGGGTTTTTTTGAGTCCTGTCTAAAAATCTATTGCCAAATCCAATGTCATGAAGAGTTACCCCTATGTTTTCTTATAAGAGTTCAGTCGTTTTAGCTCTTATATTTAGGTCTTTGATTTTAAGTAATTTTTGTATGATTATTCTTCTACATGTGGACATACCACTACCATTTGTTGAAGACACCATTCTTTACCCCACTGAATGGTCACATTGTTCAGGTTTTGAAATTGAGAAGTGTGAGGCTTCCAACTTTTTTTTCCAGGGTTGTTTTCGCTTTTTGGTGTTTCTTGCAATTCCTTTTCTACATCTTTTACTATGGATATTTAAAAACAGACATGGAAATAGAATAATATGCCTCCATGTACATAGCGTGAGTAGTTATCAATAGTTTGCCAGTCTTGTTTCATCTGTTCTCACTTTTCAAAGAATATTTCGAGCAAATCTCTGGCATTGTCATTTCGTTTACAAAATTTTGATAGTCCCCCTATACTCTCCCTTTTTTACAGACCATCAGTTTTACAAAGAAACAAGTACATTCATACAATGTCAATATCCCGATTAGACTTAATGTTTCATCTTGTAAACTCATAATTAGAACTCCAGAGGCTTGATTAGTAGCTGGTTCATTTTACTAGGCACTAATACTTCATTCATAATTGGTATTATTGTATTCTTTTGAAACACATCTTTTAGCAATGTCAAGATTGATTAGTGAACCAGGGTTATCAAGCTCATTCATCCATGAACAGTGCTCCAGTTAGACTTTCATATAATGGTTTTAGCATTCATTGTGATTACCACTGCAACATACTTCATTTGGGGTTATAAAACACTGATTTTATAAATGCATACTTTCTTCTATACTTACTAATTAGACTTTTTCATTGAAAAAACTATGTGGTTACCATGAAATTCAGTCTGTACAGAGAAGAAAGAAAAGTGATTTTTTTCCCCCTGTACAAAGAGCCCTGATGTAGTCTAATGGGATCTTAGAAACCCAAGTCTGGGTGCTAGCAGGACTACTTGCTCCTGGGTTGAATCATTTTCTCCTGGACAGAATTAGGACGTACTTTAGGGGGGAAATTATGGACACGCCAAAAATTTTAGTTAAAATTTAAAATGAAAGGATTTTTGCTTTTTTATAAGCTTGTTCTCCTTTAATTTAAAAATAGCTTTAGTCATCCTGTACATCAAAAAGTTACAGATTTGATCCCCAATCAGGGCACAAATAGGTGGCAGATTTGATTCCCAGTCAGGGAATATATGGGAGGCAATCAATGGATGTCTTCTGTTTGTCTCTCTGTCCCTCTGTCTCTTCCCCCTTCTTTCCCCCCACCCACACCTGTCTCTAAAATTAAAGAGTATATCCTCAAGTGAGGATGTCAAAATAAAAAATAAAAAGCTTTATTTTAAGCTTTATCTTAAAGATCAAACTTTCAGCCCAAAACTGATGTTTTGCATAAGGAGTAATGAAGTACTAGTACATGCTACATTGTGGATGCACCTTTAAAACATTATGCTAAATGAAAGAAGCCATCCACAAAAGGCAGCAAGTTTATGATTCCATTTGTATGAAATATCCAGGACAGTTAAATCCATAGAGGTAGAAAGTAGATTGGTATAATAGAAAGTACAGGTTGGGGGGTAGAGAAATGGGGAGTAATTGCTAAGGGGTACAGGGTTTTATTTGGGGGTGATAAGATATTTTACAACAAGATAGGTGGAATGGCTATACAGCATTGTGAAATGTACACTTCAAAATGGTGATGTGAATTTTACCTCAAAAAGAAAACATGATGTTTGTCCAGTCAAGATGGAGGTGTAGGTAAACACACTTTGCCTTCAAGTACAACTATAGCAAAATATACAACTAGATTATAAAACAGATATTACCCAGAATTGTATGAAAATCAAGCTATACGGAAGACCTACAACCCAAGATTTAAAGAAGCCACATACGTTCTGATGGTAGGAGGAGCAAAGACATGGAGAGGTACCGGGAGGTAGAGAGGTGCAGAAATAGGAAGCAGCGGTCCCACATCCATGTGTGGTGGATAAAAACCAGGAGGTTTACCTCAAGAGCAAGGGATTCCCAGCCCCAGTCCAGACCACACACTGCCCAGGGTTCTAGCTCCAGGAAGACAAATCCCCATAACTTCTAGCTGTAAAAACCAGTGGAGGTTGGAGTAGTGGAAGAAATTGCAGGATCCTCAGACTCCTCCTAAAGGGCCCGCAACAGACTTGGGACTCATGCCGACCTACCCTCTCAGGGAGTCAGCAACAGCTGGAAGGGCACCAGTGACCTAGGGGGAGAAAGTGAAGTAACTGGCACCAGGGCAAGTACTGGGAGAAAGCTTCCTCCTGCACAAAACTCCAGAGGCCAAATAGCAGCATTATCCCCTCTCCAAGCCCTCTCCCACACAGAGCAACAGAGTGGTGACATGGGTTGCCCGCCCTAAGGCTCTGGTCCATGTAACTTAACAAGTGTGCTTTTCTACCATAGGCCTCACTACTAATACAGCAAGTCAAAGCAGCACTACCTAAATCATAGAAACAAATACAGGGAGGCTGCCAAAATGAGGAGACAAAAAAAGATAGTCCAAATGAAAGAACAGAACAACACTCCAGAGAAAGACCTAAATGCAATCTAGCAGATGCAGAGTTTAAAACACTGCTTATCAAGATGCTCCAGAAACTCACTGTGTACTGCAACAGCATAAAAAAGACCCAGGCAGAAATACAGGTTGCATTAAGTGGACAGAAGGGTAATCTATAGGGAACCAAAAATGGAGGGGATGAATCTGAGAATCAAATCAACAATCTGGAACACAAGGAAGGGAAAAAAGCACTTGATCAGAACAGCAGGAAGAAACAAAGAATTAAAAAAAAATGATAGGCTTAGGAACCTCTGGGACGTCTTTAAACATGCCAACAATCCAAATCATAGGGGTGCTAGGAGAACGAAAGAGCAGGAAAATGAAAACTTATTTCAAAAAATAATGAAAGAAAACTTACCTAATTTGGTGAAGGAAATAAACATACAAGTCCAGGAAGGACAGAGAATTCCAAACAAGTTAAACTCAAAGAGGACCACACCAACACACATCATAATTAAAATGCCAAAACTCAAAAATAAAGAGAGAATATTAAAAGCAGCAAGGGAAAAGCAGAGGGTTACCTACAAAGGAAGTTTCCTTAAGACTCAGCTGATTTCTCAAAAGATTCTTTGAAGGCTAGACGGGTCTGGCAAGAAGTACTCAAAGTCATGAAAAGCAAGGATCTACAATCTAGATTACTCTATCCAGCAACGCTATCATTTAGAATAGAAGGACAGATAAAATTGCTTCCCAGACAGGGTAAAACTAAAGGAGTTCATCATCACCAAGGCATTATATGAAATGCTAAAGGGAACTAATATAACAAGAAGAAGATCAAGACTATGAACATTAAAATTACAGCAAACTCACAACTCTCAATAATTGAATCCAAATAATGAAGCAAACAAGCAGAACAGGAACAGAATCATATATATGGAGATTATTTGGAGTGTTATTAGTTTGGAGGGGGAAGGGTAATAATGAGGGGAAAGGTGCAAGGATGAAGAAGCACAGATTGGTAGATACAAAATACAGGCATGTTAAGAAGCATATAGGAAATGGAGAAGCCAGAGAGCTTATATTCATGACCCATGAACATGAACTAAGGTGGGTGATGCTGGAAGAAATGTGGGTACCGGATGGAGGGGGGACAAATTGGGACTTTAATAGCATAATCAGTAAAATATATTTTTAAAAACCTAATGTTTCTTTAGTCTCAAACAATAAATACATATTGCTAATATTTCATATATATGTTCAAAAGAGAAAATTTTAAATATTGGCAAACCAAAAGTTACCTTATTGCTGTGAATTATTTGCTGAATTCTCCTCTTCATTTTCCCCACCCCACCCCACCTCCCAACCAATATAGTCATTTGGAAACTTTTAAAATAATACATTCTCAGAAAGTATATTTTTCTGCCCTTTATATTCAGGTCATAGTGCTAGTGCTTGACTGCTAAGGAAATATTTTATTTCTATAACAACAGCTAAATAATAAAACCTATATATAGATAAAGAAATGCTGAGAGATTACTAAAAATTGTTTATGAAGTGTTAACTAAATAAAGGGAAATCGCTGATATGATCTCATTAACATATTTTTAAAAACTAAAGGGGGAAACAGTACATTTACTCCTGAAAAGGTTTTTAAAATAAATATTTCACTTCTTATTTTTACATGGCAATCCAGTTTAGCACAGGGCTCTTGATGGTCCATGAAAACTTGATTCCTACTCACACCTGAATAAGCCCGCCATCAAGATTTTTAGGAAAAGGTCCCTAAGTATCCAAAGTTTGGGAAAGGATTAGAATTTTAAAATTCAGTCTTGATGAATCTCAAGTGCTATCTTAATAAAGGTTGTTTTTTTTGTATGTTTGTACTCTGATATTTTGTTTGATGCTATTTGGGGGTTGTTTTTTTTTCATGTTGTAATAGTTTGCTAGGTCTTCCATAACAAAGTACCAGGGACTGGGTAATTTAAACAACAGAAATTTATTTTCTTGTGGTCCTGAAGGATAGAAATTCTAGATCACAGTGCCAGCAGGGTTGTATTCTCCTGAAGCTTGTCTCCTAGATGGCTATCTTCTCCTTATGTCTTCACATTGTCTTCCCTCTGCTTGTGTCTGTGACCTAATCTCTTATAAGGAGACCAGTCATTAAATTAGGGCTCACACTAATAATTCTGTTTTACCTTAATAGCTCTTTAAGACCCCATCTCCATGATCACTTTGGCAGTATGTATACTAAAATTGGAATGATAGCATGGCCCCTGTGCAAGAATGACATGCAAGTTTGTAAAGCGTTCCATATTTAAAATGCTTCGTGAATAGGGAAAAACAAAACACCCCATCTCCAAATGATCACATCTGAAATACTGGGGGGTTGGGACTTCAACATAAGAATTTCAGAGGAACACAATTCAGCCCATAACGAACATACCTTTTTTTCTTTTATAGGTCAGTTTGCTGAGAATGAAACTAATGAAGTCAATTTTAGAGAGATCCCCTCACATGTGCTATCAAAAGTATGCATGTATTTTACTTACAAGGTTCGCTACACTAACAGCTCCACGGAGATTCCTGAATTCCCAATTGCACCTGAAATTGCACTGGAACTGCTGATGGCTGCAAACTTCCTAGATTGTTAAATAAAATAAGTTATAATAAACTGTTAACTTTTTTCAGTATTTAATACCTGTAGTTCAGTTAGAATTTTTTTCATATATAGCATGTTGCCTGTGCGCAATTGAACTTTAAAGTTCATTGCAAAGCAGATTATTGTCTCTTCTTTTGCATAGCAAAGTTGAAATTTGTTTGTTACATCAACAAGTTAAGGACATTTTCACAAATTGAGAAATAAACAAATATGCCACTTTGTAGGTAGTTTTGCCTTATTCTTTGGATGTGATTTTTAAATTAGAGCAATGGTGATATAATAAATGCTGAAATTTAGTCATAAATGGACAATATTCTCCAGGTAAATATTGGGGCTATGTATTTTTATGTTTTTAGTGTTTTTTTTAAACCTATAGCTGTCATTAGCGTTACTAGAATTATGCAAACAATTGCATTATAAACAAGTTTATAACTTAGCCAAATATTGATTTTTATAACTGTCAAAGACATAAGAGTTGAAATTTCTTAGGTGTCTTTTGATAAACTGCAGTATTGTTTAAGTATCTTGTCCTTTTGTTTTATTGCTACAATTTAAGAACTTTATTTAAAAGCAATTTTGGAAGATTCCTAGGTACAGCTTTTGGAGCAGTGACTTTTTGAACTATAGTCACATGGTCAGTAAGTAAACTAAATGACCTTGATTTTATGTGTAATGTGCATTTTGGCCAATCCAAAGTACTGTACTTTCATTACTATAAAGCTTCTTTTGCAATATTCATCCTTCTTATCTAGTCCCTTGTGATTATACTTCTGGTTATTTAAATGTTTTAAAAGACTAAGAACATTACCCAGATCTTAAAAGCTAATCTTTTCTGAACTATTCTAGTCTTCCTGCATCCAACTGAAATGTTTTAAAATATGACAAACGTGAAGAGATGTAGTGCAAATCTTACAGCGCACTTTGATATAGTATATTACATTCTGTTAATTAAAATGTGTTCCAATAAATATGCCCAACATCTCTGGGTCTTCTACTAAAATATAACTTATAAAGAGGCCATTCAGCTTTTATACTAAGCAGACAAAAATACTCAAAAACTATTACAGAATCTCTGCTTAGGCATGGGAAAAGAGCACTGTAGTTTGGTATATTATTGTTTCTTAGTAAATCAAAGCTGTCATTAAGGTCTATAAGTTTTTAGCTTAGTTCTTCAAGACTAGTTTAATATGGACCAGTGTTTCTGGAATTGCAAAAACCATACACAACCAAATTCTATGAATAATTTTCCTCTTAGAAAACTTAACATTGTACTTTGCAGCGTATTGAAAGCAATTAAATATATATGTTAATTGCATATATTTTAGTAACTTCTTAAGACATACTGGTACATAGTTTAGTAGAAGATTATCAAGTGCAAGAATTATATTCTGCTACTTGGTGACAAATAATTCCAATTATAAACCTAAATAATGATCTTAAAGGTTAAGGAGATAGCTAGAACCAAGTTTAACTTTGATCAATTTTAGTAGGTTACGTTTTGTGTTAGATCCACAAGTAATCTTAAGTTAAAATATTGAAAAAGGACTGAAGGATTAGGAAAAGTTGTATATCTTGTGGTAAATGAGACTTGCATGTTAATAAAGGCTCTGTTGACCGAAAGGTTTGATGAACACTTGATGTTTGATCTTTTTAGCCTTAATTTTCTCTTTTTTCTGAGGATTCATGAAACTATTTGTTTCTGGATATCTTGCCATACACTAGGGATTTTTATTTGGTCAATTTAAGAGATAAGTTTATATAGCATTGAAACTCGGTAATTAGCTTTCTGACACTTGGAAATTAGTTAACTTTTTAAATTATGTGCAGGTCTCCTTGATACTTTTTTTCTGCACAGAAAATATTACTACAAATCCTTTTTTTTATTCAGTTAACATTTCATTTTTGTAGTGTCTAGATTATTTTCAGTTTTCTAGATTGTTTTATCTTTTATGAAATCAATTTCGAGTCTCCTTTTGAAGAACCTTTTTGATACTAAGAAACACAATTTACTATAAGCAATAAATCAGCTCATGGTAGAAGAGAGATACAGACTAAAAGCATCTTGATATTCATGGACCTGTCATCTTAGTGGGTCATTTTGCTAAGTTTATCCGTTAATCTTCTTTCATGAGTACAAATAATTCTGAGAAATAATATGAAGTTGCTGTTAAAGATTGAAGAGTGTCTAAATTAATCCTAGTAATTTCTATCTATTGTATTTTGCTGTGTACAGTGCATTCCCATGCTTTTGGCCCAGACTTTCAGAGGGAAAAAATCTTTCATTTTAATTTTTTAATTCAATTATTTATTTATGTTTAGAAACAAAACTGATTATCATGTTCCAGGGTATTGTTTTGCATACAGATACTGGGTAATGCTTTGTAGAGTTATGCTTTTAACACATAAGCATGAATAAAAAGAATTAAAAACATTTATATAGATACAGAATTAGCAGTGCCCATGTATAAATATGCAGCCTTATTTTTCCCTCAAAAATGTGGGCAAAAAAGTATGCATTATACATAGCAAAATACAGTATATAGAAGAAATTTCATACAAATTAACAAAGCTTGGATGTACCTAGACTTAGCCGTGCTGTAATTGAGCATCTGATTGGTTATATCTAAGTTTGATAAAACACAATCTGGAAATCAATAGATGCCATCAATTTTATATATATGGTATTTTATTTGCAATATGTAAATCTGGTTTAATTTCAGGTCAGTTATATTTATGCCAAAGTTTTATGTTCCTACTGGGCTAATGGTGAGGGTTTATACAAATATTTCCTCGCCCAGAAGTAGTTTGGTGTATTGGGGGGCGGGGGGGGGGTAGAAAGTCTGAAGTCTTGTGCTAATTAGCCATGTGATCTTGAACCAAGTCACTGGGCCTTACTGTCACATTTAGAAAATTAGGATATTATACATCTATAGGGTGATATTTACCACTTCTTTTTTTGAGCAAACAAGATTATGTTTATGGATGTTGTTGCCTAAATACAAGATTGCAATGTTACACATGATAGACTGGAAGAATTATAAATAAAAGGAAATGGCTTTCTTGCTGCAACTCTTAAATAAGTCTATAAATTTCACTTTTTGCTGCTTTTGATTAAGCATTGAATAATACACATCAGTACTAAATATATTAGCAAGATTAATTTAGGACCCTTTTAGTTTCCTGTCGTATAAAGAAAATTCAACTTTAGCTCTGGTTATCAATAATTGTTGGTGTAAAGGGAGACTTATGTGCTGTTTTTATACTAGTGGATGCAATGCCAAGTCAACCCAAAATGCATTTTTCATTCATACTCTTAATTTAGTTAACCTATCCTGAATGAGGTACATATGTGATTGATTTCTTTATCTGTTTCATATATCTGACTGAAAACAAGACTTTTTAAATTTCTCTATAAATTTTGTTTATTTCTTCCATAAGACACAGGTGCATCGGAATTAGATTTTCTCCTCTTTGTAGTACTAGATGTTTACCATTATTTTTAATAGAAAATGTTTTATTACATTTACCTAGGTAGATATATATGTGCTGTCCTTTATTTGTGATTACATCTATTGCTTCATTATTTAGAGAAGCAGGTGTAAGAGGATAGCTTAGGATAAGAAAAATTTAAATTCATGCCTTCATTCAAGCAGAATTGTGTAAAATTTTAATCAGAGCCCTTTTTTTACATCACGGAATAAGGCTTGTGATTAATTCTGCCTATGCATAACAACTGGTACAGCTCTGCTGTTAGAATTTTTTAATACGTTAGTAGGATCTTTTTTAAAAATATTTTATTTATTTATTTTTTAGAGAGTGGGGAAGGGAAGGAGAAAGAGTGGGAGAAAAACATCAGTGTGTGGTTGCTGCTCATGTGTCCCCTACAGGGGACCTGGCCTGCAACCGATGCATGTGCCCTGGCTGGGAATCGAACCAGCTACCCTTTGCTTCACAGACCTATGCTCAATCCACTGAGCTACACCAGCTAGGGCCGTTAGTAGGATCTTAACTCTAGGTATATTAAATTTTTATGCACGCTTATCAAATACATTTTACTTTTGAGTTAATGTGCTGTCACTTCTGCTCTAAGAAAACTTTGATTCTGTATCACAAGTAAATTTTGAATTGGAAAGTAAATATTCTTCTGATCATCAAAGACAATTTTTGTCTTTCCATAATTTCAACTATTTTTGCGGTTGCATATTTTGTTAGTTTCTTACAGCTGCCATTTGAATCAGCCAATATATCTATATATATATTTTTTTTGTTTATTTGTTTTAATGGGGATCCAACACGAAACGTGAATAGTCCAAGGTTGCAAGTTTAATTGTGGTGAAGTTACAGATTTAGATTGTAGTTCAAATTAGAGAAGACATGGTGCTTAGATTCTGAAGACAACCTGCATGGATGCTACAGCCAGAGGAAAAGGCAATGTTAGAGTGTTCAAATAAACAATATACAGAATATTACAATTATGGAGTTGAGGTAGGGAGTTAATGCACAAGCTGTGCCTATAAAATAATGAATGCTTTGGAAAATATATAAATTTCTATTCGGTGAACATCATCCTTTACTCGGTAGGCTATCGGTTCTCAAAATGTTGGTGGAACTGGCATTAGAGCTTAAAATAAAAGTTCTTTTGAATAGTATCAATAGGGGGAGATGATTTTCTTTAAATGTTTTGAGACAGTCAATAAATGGTTTTGATTCAAACCTGTTGAGTAAAGATAAGTAGCCAGGCTGGATCAGAAAGCTGTGTGTGCTGATATAACTAAATTAGAGTAGCTTTCTCAAGTAGCCAGTAATCTGGCTCAGGTAGCATGGCCTGTCACAACACCAAATTTAAAGTACCTGCAATAAAGTTGGGCCTTTTGCCCTGGCTCTTGTGTCTCAGTAGTAGATTGAGTGCCAGCTTGGTAACCAGTATGTTGCCAGTTCAATTCCTAGGCAGGGCACGTACCTGGGTTGCTGGCCAGATCCCCAATAGGGACAAGTGAGAGGCAACTACGTATTGAAGTTTCTCTCCCTCCCTCACCCGCTTTCTAAATAAATACATTTTTTTAAGTTGGGTCCTTTATGACTTTATTATAGCCATTCCACCAGTCACTGTAACTTCATGGCCTCTGCTCTTTAGAAATAGGTTTCCGTTGGTGAATGCCTTGAGTATTGAAGGATGAGGTGTCAGCTTCTCAGAGGCCTTCCAGCTCCATTTTAGATTGCTCTCGTAAATACCAACTTCATTTTTTGGTCTTTGCTGTACATTTTTCCCTTTCTGTTGAGATATTTCTGTAGTGAGCATTGATGATGAACCATTATGAAGTATTGATCTGTCACTGAGAAGTAACATTGATCCCTCATCTCCAGGAAGGCTCAATTCCTGTATGTTACGTCCCACGTAGGAGGGAAAGTAGTCTGAGTGTACAACAGGAGAGCTTATGGCCACATTTGAGCAACTAGAAAGGCTTGTTGCAAGTAGAGCTAAATCTCAATTCCCACATAGTTCTTTGGTAGAGGTGTTCTCAAATTTATTTGTTGTAACATCCCCAGGCGTTGGGCTAACATAATGGTAGTGGCTGTTCTTGATCATTCAGTGCACCTGGTAAGGCACCTGATTAATGAATGTAGTAAGTCGTATAATCATAAAACTAATAAATACACTTGAGCCTGTAATATAGAATGAAGCCAGGTCCCTCCCTATACCTGTAGGCAGCCAGCTAAATAAACTCCCAATTTAGGGGCTTATGTTCTGTCCAAGGATTGTAATGTTTTATTTCAGAACCTCAACTGTGTATCATTTTACCTATTATGTTGACAGGAACAATGTTGCTCTCCTAGTAGAGCACAAGTACCACCTTGCTGTGCTAACACAGCTGGAGCCCTACGGTTTTGTACTGCTACCTCAGCTAGATAGTCCAGAGCAGTGGCAGTGTTCCAAGAATGTCTTCCAAGAATAGAGTTCTGATTGACTTCTGATTCACGTATTTCATATTCAAAGAAGGAAAGCTCTAGTGAGGGTATGCCCAAAGCCTCGCTTATCTATTACGTGTTTTGGGGTGGAGAGGACTGAAAAGAACATATTCAAAATCCCAATTTTGTTTGTTTTGGTCAAAGTGTATAGAGCCTAGTGTACAGAAGAGCCTAGATTGGTCATATTAGCAGAGGAAGAGCCTTTCTGGTGACAGCATAACCTTACCATATCTGCCTCAAAATTTGGTTTGACACGGTGAGGTATACTTGGGTCGCACATAAGAAGAAACACCTGGTGCCCTCCAGTGCAAGCCTGTGATTAGGCCCTTAACCCAAACCCTGAAGGCAGTATTAAGTCCTATTTATGAGGCAGGGAGGAGTCTATGTTCTCCAGTTGTTCGATCATAAATGTCAACACAGAAGACATTAAGTCACGTTATTTATCATGAGTGATTAGCAGCACACCTGAGATTTTGATATGTTTGAGTCAGGATTGGAAGCTTAGTATGGGTTTGGTTCCAAGTTTTCAGGTTGGGATTTCTTAAAAGACATTTTGTTTTCCACCAAATAACCGGTTTTTTTCATCTAATTTTCAAGCAGTATTTGAGAGTGGGACCCTTGCTTTCCAGGATTAAATGGTGTTATTCCCTGAATTTGCCCACATTA